AATTCTCCCGGGACCCCCCCCCGCCCACCCTGCAGCTCTCATCTGTTGCATGTAAACCTTTCCTCCGGGCCGTCCGCTGTCCTTAGAGATCCTCCAAGCTATAGCCCCGGAATTTGAGGCTGGGGGGCACGGGGATGGCGTTGCCCCCCAGGTGCCAGCTCCACAGGGGGTGAGTTTTGGAGAGGGCCCAGGAGTTTTTGACCCCCAGGGAGGAGGCAGGACACAGGTCCCCATCTTCCCCCACGACCAGGGAGGGAATACAGGGGAAGTTGCCCATGAGGCTGAAGGAATTCCGAGGCGGGGTTGGCCCGGCGCTGCCGAGGCGTTTGCAATGAGTGTTTCCCTTTTTGGCATTCCTCCTTTGAGTCTTTTGTGGCCTCCCTTTAGAGGAGCTCTGTTGCCTTTCTGCCTCAGCGCCTCTGGCAAGGCGTCTGCGCTTGGCATTCCTTTCCGAGCCATTGCCTTTCAAAGCTTTGTTTGACAAGGTGCTGGGGCTCTCTGCTCTTTTGGAGCCGGGGGATTTGAGCTCTGCGGTTTTACAGGGCTCCGTCCTCCCTCCGGGCCGCAAACTTTTCCCGTCCAGGTTGAACCCTTTGGCGTAACACCACAGCTTGGATTGCCGGATCAGGCGGTCAAAGTGCTCCCGCCGGGGCTCCCCCGGCTCCCCGGGGGGGACCGGCCCGAGGCTCCCCGCCAGCTCCTGAGCCGGGGGCTGCGGGGCCGAGCCCGGGGCCGGCTCTCGGGAAGGCGTTCGCCCGCCTAAAGCTCCGCTTTGCCTCTCTGCCTGGTCACTGGGGCCTAACGAGGCTGCTCTATTGTTCGAGGCATCTTTGTGCAAATCCTTCCCTTTGGCGCAGGGCTCCGCGTCCCCAAAGCCTCCCTCCTTTTGTTGCGGATCCCCCCCAGGGGTGCTGCTCGGGGAGGGAGGGGGGGAGGAGGAGGAGGAGGAGGAGGAGGAGGAGGAGGAGGAGGAGGAGGAGGAGGAAGGGGAGGCCTCCTGCTTTGCGTACAGCTCCGGCAGCGGCTGGGCCCCCGAGCCCAGGGCTGGAGCCGGGCTCAAACTTTCCAAAGTTGACGCTCGCAAAGTCCTGGCCCAGAGCTGCTGCGAGAGGAAGAGGAGGTTGGGGTCGGGGCGCAGGGCTTTGCCCACGCTCGGGGGGGGCTCGGCGGGGCGCTCCTCCCCGAGGGGCTCCCGGGGGGGCTGCGGCTGGAAGCGGGGCAGAGCCGCCTGCCTGTACCGGGTGCTCTGCACCGAGTCCCCGCTGCACAGCGAGCTGCTCTCCGACTCCGAGGAGCTGCCTTCCTCGCTGCTGCACGACGTGTCCCCTTCCTCCTCCTCCTCCTCCTCCTCCTCCTCCTCCTCCTCCTCTTCCTCCGACGAGTCGCTGGAGGTGGCGGGGCTGGACCCCCCGAAGTCCAGGCTGGAGTCCGAGTCGCTGGAGTAGCCGGCGGAGGTGCCCTGTCTCTTGGAGCCGGGAAAGACGGAGGAGGAGGAGGAGCGGCCTTTCCTGGGGGCCGCCGGCCCCTTCTCCACCGGGAAGAGCCCCTTGGCACAGCAGGGCCCCCGCTTGCGCCGGCCCGGCTGGGCGAGCGCGGCCGCCTGCGCGGCGGGATGCGCGGCCGCGGGATGCTGCAGCAAGGCCAGGTCGCGGGGGTGGTACCCGGCCAGGACGCCGGCGAAAATCCCCCCCCGAGCCGTCAACCCGCAAGCCCTCCGGCCCCGGGGGGGCTTTTCGAAGGCGGGGAAGGCCCTGGGGTGGAAGGCTTGCGGGAGCAGCGGGGCCGGAGCCGAGCGCGGCTTGGGGAAGCCGGGGGGCAGCGGCTTTGGGCGGCCCGCGGGGGGGGGGGGGGGACACGCAGCCCCCGCCGGCTCGGCAGGGCGGCAGCAGCTGGGGCCGGGGGCAGGGGAAGAGCTCCCCCGGGCCCGGCAGCAGCAGCTGCTCCCTCCTCTTGCTCTTCCTTTTCCTCTTCCTCCTCCGGGGGCTGAGGCTCTTGCAGGAGGTGCAGAGAGCCTCCAGGTCCGCCTTGGAGATGAGGGAACATTTCACCGCCCGGGTGGGCACCGAGTTGATGGCTTTGAGGGTCCGGAGCTCTTTGAGATCGCAGCGGCGGCTCTTGATCTTTAAGGTTTCCATCTTCTTGCTGATGGTGGTCCTGGGGATATCCTTAAACAGGTCGCTGAGGACCTGGGCCAAAGCAAACATCTGGGTGCCATTGATCTGTAAGTATCCCAAGTTTATCCCTTCGATTTCTTGATAGCCGGCATGAAAATCCCCCGGCCTGGCTTCCCCATTGTAATCCATGGTGGCTGGAACAATTCCGAAGGTCCCTTCGCAGGTCAGGAACATTTTGCAAGGAGCATTTACTTTGTCTCTTTCAAAGGGGGCATTGAAAATAAGGACATATTTGTTTCCACTCCCTGATCACACACATCCCTACCCCTCCGGAGAGGTGGGGGAGGGGGGAGGGGGAAAAAAAAAAAAAAAGGCAAAAAAAAAAAAAAAAAGCCAAAGCAGTCGATCTCCCTTTCAAACGCTCCAGTCAATGGTTTGCAACATCTTCCAAACACCCAGTTCCTCCGCCTGTACCGGGGGTTGACTCCTCGTCTTCCCCCTCCCCAGCAAAAAAAAAAGAAAGAAAAATAAAGAAGTCAAACATCTTGCATCCTCCAGGCTCCCCCCGGCCAGCTCCCACCCCGCGGCCGCGCACCCCACCTTCCACTTCAAAAATAATCTCTTTTTTGGGGGGGGGGGGCGGGAGGGGGGGTGGACGAGGAATCAACAAGCACAGCCCCCCCCTTCGCTGTGCAAAGCCACTGAGATGCTTAAGCAAACAAAGCTCCCGACAAGGAGG